ATTGCTTCGCGGGCCACATGAAACCACTTCACAGGCCGCATCTGGCCCCCGGGCCTTGTGTTTGACATGTCTGAGCTAAACTGATCAGGAAAAGCTAAATAAGTTTTTTTCCTTCTTGGTAAAATTCTGAACATTAGACCAGGAGGGAATACATGAGAAACTTAGAAGTAGAGATGATGATGAATTAAAGTAAGCTTAGTATTGCTTTTCCTTCTAATGTCTATTATTTTTAGTTTGTTTACCTTCCATTCTGTTGTTTTCTGTGTTTCACCTTGAGACTTTAAATTAGTATGGATGAGGATTTGGCCCCACTCCCTGTAGCATATTACATTCTCCTGACATTTTTTTGCCACCTTTTAGGTTTTGGAGTTCATCTGCTTTAATTTTCATCAGGCAAAGCAATGCTGTAATTAAAAACAGCATCTTATGAATCTCTCTTCATATATCATCTTTCTGTCCTTCATTTCCAGCTTGAGCAGCAGAAACTACAGGAGGCTATGAAAACATTTCAGCAGCAAGTTCTGGAAAGTGTGAAAAATGTGTCAACAGGCTCTGTCACTGTGAAACCCCAAGAGTTGGCTGGCCTCTTTTGCAATTCTGTGGATGCAGAACTCAAAGTGTATAGGTGATGTAGACTTAATGGCCAGGTGGGTTGAGTTTTAATCCTTGTGCTTTTGACAGATTGTCTAAAAAATGTTTTCTTCTTTTAGGGTATGCCTATAAAAGGGTTCTGAGCTAATCTAAAAGCAGATCATGATCTCTGGGTGACATGTCAGCAGGAGTAAAGAGCTGAATTTATTTCTTCTCTTAGTTGTATAGATGAAACTGGAGCAAAGCTAGGGTTTCTTTTCTTTTTTTTATAAAACAGGTTTTATTAAGTTTTTCAATTTTTACAACAAAGTGCTTAGGAAGCAACGTGGTGATTGGGTAATCAATTATCCAAAAAACCAAAACATTTATATATAACTCAAGTTAACTTGTTAAAGAATCCTTCTCTAATTCCTACAAATCATATACCATATTCAGATTACTACATTTCTAATAAAGTTCAATCAATCAATAAAATTATCAATAACAATTTAACTATATAAATCCCAGTCCTGTATTTAAACTTTATAAAATTCCAGATACCATATTTCAATTTAACCATACATAGGCCTAATATTTATGCTTCTGGTATCCCCAATTTTCCTCTTTTCATAGCATAATATTACAGAATAATTATCATACATAAAATAAACATATTAATTCAAAAAATACAATCTTACTCTATTTCACATATTTATTCTACTAAACAAAAGTTTTCCTTCTCGGTTATAGGTCTAAATCTTAAACCTTAGATCAGTCCGTGTCTAAACAGCCTTTTTAATCCATTACATACAGCTTTAAAAGTCATTTTTAAGTCTTATTCTGGCTTTCTTTTTGTGCTAAGCAGGTTTCCATAACAGAGCTTCTATGTCTAGAAATAAGTCTCTCTTTATTCCTCGTGGTATCATTTGGATCAAAAAACACTCCATTTTCTGTTTAGAGAAGCTGACTCCTTTGTAATTAATTACAAAGATAGGGTTTCTTTATTTTATGAATTTTTGTTTCCTTACTGAAAGGAATATTTGTTTTCAGATGACTCTCAACTCTTGAGCTTTAGGGCAAGGTGACTTCTGTTCCTGTTCTCAACTCTGCAGTGAACCTGAATGAAGTCATTTTGGCTCATTTTCGGTTGCCACCAGACTGGGAGGAGAATGGTTGCATTTTTGTGCTAGTCTAAACAATTCTCTGTCCTGTGGGAACCAAGGTCATTTCTGTTCATTAGATTGGGGGCTGAGCCTAATGTTAGAAAGAAAGCCAAATTATTCTATTGGGGAACGTAGTTGATTGCATAGTACTGGGGTGGAAAGCTTAACTTTGCAATACTGTAACTGTTTGGATGAACTTTAGTTTTGATTTCACTTTTGACTATGCTGATACTTGTAGCCAATAAACATGTTCTTAAAGGAAAACTTAAGCCTTCTAGTTCTATTGGAACTATGACATTAAACCAAGACTAAAGTTCTATTATTCCATTGCCACAATCAGTGTCACAAGTTGCAACTAGGGGCCAGGCGCTCACACAGTCTACCGAGCCAGATAACCCTTTGACAAACAGAATTTAGGGAAGAGCTAAAAACTGATGCTTGGTTCCAGGTGAATAAGACCCTACTGACACAACGGGATGGTTTAGCCTAAATTGTACTTGCCCAATACACTCAGAGTCCAGGTGCTTCAATGCAGTCATGACACTAAGCAAGCCAGCTACTTTGGATTTCTAAAGACATTGCATTTGGTCTGCAGGCAATTTTGGTGGCCGGGGATAAAAAAAGGATATTGAAAGCTACGTAAAAACTGTGCCACTTGTGCTGCCATGAAAAAGCGACTGGGATTGGTGCAGCAAGTAGCAGACCCTTTTCAACTCTGGGAGGAGATAGCTATGGAATTTATTGTTGAGTTACTGGAAAGTAGGGGAAATACGGTAATATGGACTGCCATTGACCTCTTTTCAAAGCAGGCTCACTTTATAGCCTGCTCAGGGTTCCCCTCTGCAAAGAGGTTAACCAAGATGTTTCTGAAACATATATACTTCCTCCATGGTGCTCCAAAGATGATTATATCAGACAGGGGAGTTCAATTTACTGTGAGGTTTTGGAGAGACTTTCTCAAGCTAATTGGGTCCACTCAAGGACTTTCGATGGCTTTTCATCTGAGCACAAATGGATCAGCTGAACAAGCCTATGGCATGTGTGCCAGAGGCGGCACTCAGACTGACTGGACTAACCTCCTGCCTTTTGCTGAAGTGGCTTACAATAATACCGTGCACATCAGTACTGGACGTACTCCATTTAAAATAGCCACCGGCAGAGAGTTCGTTCCTATGCCTGAATACCCCCAAGATCCACCTGCCTCACAAACTTTAGATCAGTGAGTAACATCATGGCAGACTGTTTGGACTAATGTTAAAAAGGTTCTAACACAAGTTCGCAAAAACATACAAGGAACAGGCCAATAAGAAGCGGTCCTCTCAGGGTGGGGGAGAAAGGCTATCTTTCAACTAAATATTTAAGACTTAAATTACCTAGCAAGAAATTGGGATTGAAATTTCTTTGTTCTTTTCCTATAATTAGGATTATAAATCCTGTGACAGTGGAGTTAAAACTTCCTCGCTTCTTGGGGAAATTTTATCCTGTTTTTCATTGAAGTTTGCTAAAACCTCTCAGAGAGTCATCATTAAGACCAATTCCTAAGAAAGCACCTGGTCCTCTTTTGGTTGAGGGGGAAACTCATTATGAAATTAAACGAATCCTTGACTCTAGGTTATACAAGGGGAAATTAGTACTTAGTACAGTGCCATTGTCAGAGGCAACCTGGGTGAAAAGTACAGATGTCAAGGCAGATCAGTTGATAAAAATGTTTTACGATAAGCATCCTCAAAAAACTCTGCAACAAACCTGAATGAAGCCATTTTGGCTTGTTTTCGATTGCCACCAGACTGGGAGGACGGTAGTGGCATTTTTGTACTAGCTTAAACAATTCTCTGTGCTGTGGGAACCAAGGCCATTTCTGTTCGTTAGATTGGGCGCTGAGCCTAATGTTAAAAAGCCCACCAAATTATTCTATTGGGGAACATAGTACTGGGGTGGAAAGTTTAACTTTGTAATACTGTAACTGGAGGGAACTTTATTATTAGTTTCACTTTTGATTGTGCTGATACTTTATAGCCAATAAACATGTTCTTAAAGGAAAACTTAAGCCTTGTAGTTCTGTTCTAGTTGGTCTCATCTATCGGAACCATGACATGCTTATTTACGGTACATTTATTTAAATATACCATGTGTCAACTTTAGAATGATCATGGCTGCAGCCATTTTTTCCTTTTCTATTCTAGTTGACACATAGCACGGAGGGAGGGGGGTTGCCAGGTGTTGCGCTAGACAAAACAGATAACTAGAGCTAAATGCTTCTATTGGTTTATCTACAGAGATGTTCTATTTTTAGTTATATTCCTTTAATTTTTTCTTATCCTAACCTACTTTTTAATTATAACACAATGCCAAAGTGAGGATACAAAAAACCACCATCACTTTGTAAGAAATTAATTAAACTTATTTTGCAATAAAAGTGTCCTTAAAATTCCCAAATAGTTAAAACCCATCGCACCAGACACAAATCTTGTATTTATGCCAATGGCTGTAATTTCCAGAACTTAGTATATAATTGCAATGTAAGGGCACTACCATTATAATTTTCATTTCCCCATCACCCAGCAACATAAAGGCAATAAATAATCTTTTCCTTAAATCAACCACACGGCCAGAGTACTGGAAGGTAACCAAATGTGATACCAATCTTTAAAAGAAATCCAGGGAGATCCCATCAATTATGTCTGTCATGTAACATCTGTTCCAGGCAAACTGGTAGGCATGTAATTAAAGAAAAACAATTAAGCAATAAATAATTTGACACATAAAAAAAATCTTGCTGAAGGAAAATCTGCAGATTCCACAGATAAAACCTGTTTCACAAACCTTCTAGAGTTGACAGTTTCAACAACACTTATGAAAAGCTGAATAAATTTAGCAGATGTGGGGTAAGAGGATCTACCCTTTTATGGACTGCAACTAAAGACAGAAAGAAATGAGTAGGAATAAATGGGAGGTGAAGTTCTTCAAGGATGTTTTGAGACTAGTGCTATTTAACTTCTTTACAAATGAAAGACCTTTGAGTTAGGGGTAAACATAAACATGGTGTCATGGTTCCGACAGAGACAAATAAAGCAGAGCTCTGAGGCTTGCAATTCCTCAAAGAACATGTTTATTGATACAAAGTATTGGCACTTCAAAAGTGAAACTAAGTCTGAAGAGATGCATAACAATTCCCCAATACAAAGTTAAAAAATCATAATATCTTGTTTATTTTAAAAATGGGCAATGCTTCACAAATGAAAGGAAGTATATTTGTTTGATAAGATAAAAAAAATTACATAAGTAAAATAGTGTTTCAACAAAATATCATTTTCTTATGTTCTTGTTTGCAGATTTAGCTGCACTAGATATTTTCCCTTTTGATTTTTTCTGCTGGGTCTGGGTTGTGCCTTCGTGTTTTTCCTTTGGAATGTTCAGTCCTGCATTAACTTCTGGAATCACTGTTCTTTGTGGTGATGGATTCAAAACCATACGGTTCTCAGTTTGAGATAAATTAGTTAGAACTGAAGATCCTGATTCTGGTAAACTTAGGGGTTCACCTTCACTGGTGCTGAACACAAGCTGCCTCAGATTCTGTCGCTGCCTCAGCTCTTCCAGACGGGTTTCGTGTTCCCTCATTGCTGTCTCTCTCCGCTGAGCTGAGCGGCTACTGAATTCATTATGGAGATCAACAAAGAAGTCTAACCAAAAAAAAAGAGAATTAGGATAAAGTTATAGTCGCCATAGTCCATTTATAGTCCATTGTTTTCTCAGCAAATTTGCACAGAAGTTGCAGAATTGGAGAATGCAAATTATTTTTGTTAATGTGGATACACATAAGCCAGAGGGTCAGGCTCAATGTATAGATTGAGCTAAAAGCTAAAAATACAGAATGTTTCTTCACTGAGTGCTGACTTGTTCAGTTTTGGGTTATAACTGGGGCATCTGTTAGAGAAATCATGGCAGTCTGAGTAAATATCACCTCAGCCAGGAAGTTGCTCAAAGTCTCCATTGTCTCTTATTTTAAAAATAGCACTTTTAATACAAATATTAAACATAATATACTGTAAATATAATTAAAATACATTTAATCTTAGCAGTTTTTAAACAAAGATTAATATCTACCAGATCTTTTTTTTTCATCTTTACTTTGGGAATAAAAGAGATTCTTTGGTGAAGATAAATGTCACTACAATTGATAATAACTATATTTATAATGGTTATACTTTTTTACTGTGCATATTTATTTCCTGTGAATTGTGGCTTTTAACCAGTGATTCCATGATTTCCCCCCTTTGTTCTATCCTCCCATTTGTTCTCGTGAGGTACGTTAAGTTGAAAATGACTGAACCCTAAGATTATTAGGAAACATCAAAGGAATCTGTATTTCTTGAGGCCTTCAATATTAACCATTTCATAATAACATGTCTTCAGAAGTATTTTTTCATTGCAGAACTAAGAATCAATGCTTCCACATTGATGTAGCATTCCAAATCTGGGCTTGCAATTGGAATACCTTTTTCTGTGCTCAGTGGCTGAAAGAGCTCTGGCCAGTCCTCATAATCACTCTCTTCTGAGCTATTTTCTTCCTCTTCATTGTTTTGGAGTATGATTTTCTGCTTTGAGATGGCTTTGTTGTCCAGTTCTATCAGATGGGGCAGAGCCGCCAACACACGCTCCCTGGAAGATAAAAATAAAAGTTCGTCTCCGTACTCTGCTCTTTGGTGATTAATAAAAATAGTAGGCAAGATCTTTTATATTTAATTATTCATATTTTTTGTTTTGTTTTAAATGAAATTGATGCTATAAATTAAATCAGTCTTCCTGCCACACATTGGCAAAGTGTGGACTTCCAGAATTATCCAGCCAACCATTCTAGCCCAGAAAACACTGCCTCATTTCCCATGTTCTTAATGGATTCAGAACATCCTATTTGCTTTATTCTGTGATGTTGCAGTGGCCTTAGTAATGGGGTACTACTTTCCTAAATTTAATACCTTCCGGATGTTAGTTCTTATACTGGCTGGGATAAAGGAAGTTCCAAATTCAGCCTGAAGGACAAGAAGTTAGAAAAGATAATTATAGGATGAGTTATTATGAATCAATATGATTTGTTTTCCTGGTTTTACCTATAGCCTTTTTGATTCCTGCATTTATTTCCAGTCAGGTCAAGGATTGCAAGGTTCAGGGGCAGCTCATCTATATAAACAAGAAGGTAGAAATAAGGAAGCTGGTGAGAGTGCAAATGGATAGAAATTGATACAAGAATTTTTGGAGATTCAGGAGACTGGTTCATATTTTCATGAAATATTATCAAATTCAAAATACAATTATTTATTATTTTATTACATTGCTAAATAAATACTTCACATATCTTTTTTTCATATTACAACTCAAACTGAAGGGCTGAATTTCAATAATATAGTGTTCTATAGTATAAGTTCATGTAATATTTTCACAACCCATGAGGGAATATAAGTACTGATCAACATTGCTTGTCCAATTCTAGTTGTAGAGCAAATCTGGGCATTTTATGGCCCCTGAGCAACATCCAGCCCTTTTACTGTCCCTATCTGGCCTGTGTAAGATTAGTTGAAAATTAGAAATCAAATGTCAATAATTGCATTATGCACACAAGTAAGCAGAATTAAGTTCAGCCTGTTGGTTCAGCTCTCCATAGTAGTCTCAGTTTCTCATGTGACCCTTTGGGAAAATTAATTGCCCACCTCTGTAGTAGAGGCCACAGCTCATAATTCCGATAGTTGATAATTAATGGTTATTGAAAGTTATATTTCCAACATATCAGGAAAACACAAATTTGAGGATGGCTGGTATAGATGGCAAAGATGAACAGAGGAATAGACATAGACTAACCTATGTCTAAAGTATCAATGCAATTCTGTGAAAGATCCAGAAACTTCAACTTGAGGAGAGATTGGAGGTTCTCTACTTTGTTGATGTAATTTCCAGATAATGACAAAAACCTGGAAGCATGTGAGAAGGCAAGACAAGTTGTAAAATTCTTAAGACAAACAAAAGTAAGACACTGCCTTTCAGAGAAAAAAGAAATATACAGCAGCCATGATGCATTAATGGGTGATGACATCATAAAACATGCAATCTTATTTCTTACAGCAGATAGCTAGAGTTACAATCCAACTCTCAAAGCCAGGTGAGTGTTTCGTTACCTATCAGGGCTGGAAATCAACTACACGTTTTTTATTCTCATTTCTGAATCCCTCTGATTTTAAAATGGGTCTAGTTCTCACTGAAGTGATAAGTACATTTCATTCAGGTAAAAAATTAGCAACCCAAAAATAAAATATAACCATGTTAATTTTCTATACTGAATACTTTTTTAATTTAGGGATGATCCCATCTGCAAATGTAACATTACACACCAGATATAGGCCTTTCATTCTTGAGAAGAGTCGGTGGCTTTGGGGCACTGAAGCTCATTCTAGTTCAAGTTGTTGCACACTCACAACATATACAACTCTCTCAGTAATTTAGGTGCAAGTTAATTCTCTGAAACGGTTACACGGAAAATGGATCAGTTGATTTAGCTGACAGGAAAAGCATGTGATATGCAGACAGCAATACCTACATTTATACATGATTATTTATTTATTAAAATGTCATGCCACTCATTTTCCCTGAAGGTGACTCTAAGTGTCTTATAGATTATAAAACAAGTAGAAAAATAATTAAAAACTATACAGATTAAGATTTAAAAACCTATATTGAAACCAGAACTAAGACACATATAGGATGGGATGAGGTCTTATCCTGTCAACCATCTCCATCGGTGAGCATCCCCATCAGGGCCCCAGGCCAACCAGCAAAATCAATTTTAATACCTTTCCAGAAGGTCAAAAGGCTGAGAGCATTTTCACTTCCAGTGATAGAGTTTTCCACAGAAATTAGGCCATGGCAGAAAAGACTATTCTCCTTAAACCCACCTGCTGGAATTTCTTAGCAGATGGGACCCACAGCAGGCTTCTTCCACCAGCTCAAGAGGGGGAGGCTAGTCTCAGATACTCTGGACCCATGCCATATAGGACTTTAAAAGTAACAACCAACGCCTTGAATTGGATCCAGAAGCAAACTAGTAACCAATGCATCTTGTATAATAGTGATGTTACATGTGAGGCCTAGAAACTTTCAGGACTGCACAGCACTGCATTCTGTACCTGCTGCTGTTTCTGAATACTTCTTAAGGATAGCCACATTAGAGTATGTTGCAGTAATCCAGCTGAGAGATGACTAGGGCATGAGTAACCATCCAGGTAAGGGAACAACTGATACACAATACAAAATTGTGCAACATCCTTCCTAGCTATGACTGCTGCCTGCTCTCTGACAGGAGTCTTGAGACTAGGAAGACCCCCAGGTTGCGCACGAAGTCTGTCTGAGATAGTATAACCTGATCTGGCGTTAATGATAATAACAAATATGTAATTTGTTTGAAGCGTTTCATCCATTGTTATCATTCTATGTAGATTATCATAATTTATCACAACTATTTGGACTCAATTTGATGCACACTCAATTGTTTATTTTCATACAAACTAAGGAAGATTTTCCAGCTTCCCTTTTTAATGATTTAAATAATGTAAGTTAAAAATATACTTACTTCAAGTTTGGAAAGCAATTTAAGTTTTCAATTTTCTTTATTTGATTCTAAAAATGAAAATAGCACAAGTCTCAAGATGTTATTAAATGCAGGAAGGGAATTGGGAAAGATTCATTCAGTGTATACAAATATATGCGTTTGGACTTTGAAAAGGAGTTTTTCTCCTAGCTATTAGGTCTTTGTACAGTCTCTGAGACACCTTCTAGGTAGTATTGTTTTATCTATAAAAGCAACAGTGCTGTCATCCCAAACACCAAAAAAAACTGTAGTAATAAAGTTGGACATGTAAGTTATTTGTGGATATCTCTGCTGTCTGTTTTCCTGATGCTGTATCCTTATATGCATAAAGCATTGTAAGAAATATTAAGAATGGCAGACTAACTTTATTTTGGAATGACCACACCCAATCTGCATCCAAGGAAAATATTTGCCCTTCATGGCAATAGATAAATATCGGATTTAGTATTAAAATGTTAGTATTATTTAAAAATAAAAATAAGATAACACCAAACCAAATTATGATTCACCCTGTCAAGATATCTGGATTCCTCCTTTATGAATTTTGCTAAATATTTTTTGTGTACATCTTCAATATAGTCCAACAAGAAAGAAGATAGCACATAAATCATCTTGCTAAAACAGTGATCTGTCACTAAGATACATCTTAGATCTTACCTAGTGGCGCTGAGGGAGGCTAGGACTAACTACTATGCCTCACTCATCGCGTCATCAGATAACCGCCCTGCCGCCCTCTTCAGGGTGACCCGCTCCCTCCTTCAATTGGAGGGGGGGGGACCCCCTGGAGGGGAGGGCAGAGGATTTTGTGCAGTATCTGTATGACAAAGTCGCACGG